TTTCTCTATATACGGTATATAAAAATAAAAGTTGATTTTTACTTTGACACCATTCATCTGATCGCTATCAAACTTCGATGAGTTCATTAGAACACTTTAAGGAAGGGTTCTGTAAAAAAATCATTTTTAATTTCACAAGGGCGGCGCCACGGGAGGGTGCGATTTTTCTCTATATACCGTTTATAAAAATAATGAACGTGAATTGCAGTGACAACGTTTACACGATCGCCATGAAACTTTGGGAAGATGTTGAGAATTTTCCTGGGGAGGTTTCTGCGCTAAAAACATTTTCAAATTCGCAGGGGTGTCGCCCCGGCAGGGCGCGATTGTAGTTTCTCTATATACGGTTTATAAAATAAAAAGTCTATTTTGGTTTCACACCGTTCATTCGTGTACCATGAAACTTTGGGGAGATGATTAGATCACTCAATGGTAGGGTTCTGCAAAAAAAAAATATTTTTTAATATCGCAAGGGCGGTGCCCCCGGGGGGAGCGATTCTTTTCTCTATACACGGTATATAAAAAATAAAACTCGGATGCAGTTCATCGGAATGCCATGAAACTTTAGGGAGTAGATGAGAATACTCCCGAAAATATTACTGCGAAAAAGAAAACTAAAGTTTCTTATGGGCGGCGCCATGTAGGGTACAATTTTCGTTAATACACGGTTTGGCGCCCAGAGTTTTAGTTTTAGAGCGACTATGTTGGCACTTGGCATCCGTTAATCGAGCGTCCTGCGTAGCGAGTAAGGGGTACTATTATATTCAGTGGTAAAACTACAATAGGCTTCTAAAAAATAACTTGGTAACGCGAGGAAATCCTGTACAGTTTCGTCACCTTGCGAAAGATGGAAAAAAAATTGTGTCCTTTCAAAACACTAGGTTTAATGCCCCAAAATTCCTCAAAGTTAAGTGTTTTGAACGGACACAAATTTTGAAAATTCATAAAAAACTAGTTTGAAGATATGCACTTAGAATTTTTAGCTGATTGCCCCAAAATATGGAAGAAGATTATGAATTGATTGTTATTGGGCTTAAAATGTAATATTTTATGAATGGTGGAAAACCTACGAAGGGGTTAATTTTTCAAGATGGCCGCAGTTGTCATAGTTACCAAGATTTTTCCACCAATTTTTTTAGTGGAAATGCATATGCCGATGTATCTTAATAAAGCTGTAAAGAAATAACTGTTTTCTAACTAGTATTAAAAAGTTTTTTTTACCGGAGCCTTCCCCCTTAATACTCAATTATTTTAAGGGAAAAAAATTGTTTTAAAATATGAACCGAAACAAAAAATATTGAAATAAAATAAATATTATTTTTGTTCGCTTTTTACTTTCTCGTATATACGAAGTATAGAGAAAGTATTGTAATCGTGCACAAAAATAACATGAAATTTTGACAGTTTTCACCGTTTTACTCCTCAGTCCTTCATCACATCCGGAGTATAGAGGACTTATTTTAATCAGGCAAAAATTATAAATACAAATATATAAACATTTTGGCGTTTTATGCGTCATTGAGTCGTAAAAACTGGACTATGCAATTCTGTCCGTTATCTGTGTGTCCGTGTGTAAACACGATAACTTGAGTACCGTTAGAGCTAGGTTAATGAAATTTCATATATAAGTATTTTATCAAAATCGTAGATCCTGATCAACTTTTAAGCGATTTCTGATTACCGGAAGTGGTACTTTTTCTACTTTGAATTTTTCAAAAGCCTATAAGTTGCGTACTATTTTAGATAGATGCATGAAATTTCACACGTAAGTAAAAGATCTAATTCTCTACCTTCTGTCAAATTGTGAGTAATTTCCGTTGACCGGAAGTACTAATGTACTCTATTTACGATTTCTCAAAAACGCAAGTAAATTTATAAAGTACTAATAATATCCCGCACATTTATACACATTTTATTAGGCGTTCACTTGGTGTGGGACGGAGTGGTCTAGCGGTAGAGAGCTGGACTGCTAACCCGTTAGTCTCGAGTTCGAATCCAAGTTCAAGACAGTATACCGTCCCTGAGTCCACCCAACTCTGATGGGTACCTAACTCCTGTTAGGGAAAGTAAAGGCGGCTGGGCATAGTGCTGACCACACTATCTCTTCATATGCCGAGGTCATAGAACCAAGTGAACTCTACTTCACTTGCCCCATAGACCGTAGGTTTGAAAGGGAAACTTTTCACTTGGTGTGCAATTATTTTTTTACGAGATTCTATTCTATTATAACAAGTTTAAGTAATTAAAAATGGATAACAAATATTGTCTATGTCCTGAGTTACCATCCCTCGTAATTTGATATTAGAATATTCGAGAAAGTTTAGGGGAGATCACTCCCGGTTTATTTTTTTAATTAACAAAAACTGAAATCATCATTTAGAAACAGAGTTAAGGGCATGTTTACAGGCTTTTATTTGACTTGATTCCTCGTGCTTTTTGTGTCATGTCTGGGTCAGAGTTTCTTTCAGGCATCTCTTCTGGGGGGGGGGGGGGGGGGGGGTGGGGGTGGGTGGGGGGGGGGGAGGGGGAATAAAATGGATTTATATAGAAAACATACTTTTCCAGTGTCCGCTTCCCCCCCCCCCCCCACCCCCACTCGGACACAGTAAAGGTATGTTTTCTATTAAAATCCATTAATTCCCCCTTCCTGGTGAAAAAAATCTGTAAGAAACACTGATTTTGCTTTCAACGTTGTATAAGGTCGTCCATAAATCTTTTTTTATATTTGGTCACATAATTAAGTGAACAAAAAATGTCTATGTGTGGGGGGTGTCGTTTATGCATGATTACACCTTTCATCTGATCGACATGAAATAAAAAACGATGTAAATTTTGAGCATACTCAATCAATTAATGGGAGGTTTCCCCGAAATGCTGCCTCGAAGCTTTGGGTTCATCGCCGGCCTAAGTATATAACTTGCCAACCCTCGGCGGCTTCGTTATTTTTTAGTTGAACATGCATACGAAATCTAATGCCTTTACCCAGAGCGCCCCAACAGCAGGCGAGTCAGTTAGTGCTTAGATGTGAATGATTCAGCTCCGAGAACGTCACTACAATTAGCATAATTTATAGAGTACACCTACCATTTTAAGCGCCTGCAAATTTCGTTTATCTATAGCTTAAAGAGCGGAAAAATGAATTTTTGTCAGTTGTAAAAAATGTAATTTATGAATTCATTGAAACACACGAGTTAGAAACAAAATGAGAAAATTTTTTTTTTCGTCATCCATTTATTAATTATTTCACTTAGATCTAGTCCCTTCTTCTGTTCTCAATCTACCTTATGCAATTAATGCGTAGCAAACATCGCAAATACTCCCTCTATCTAGCAGGTCAAATGACGTGTTACTCCCTCTATCTCGCAGGTCAAATAACCTATATTAAACGTAGTGCTGGGTGTGTGCTGGTGTTAATTCAATGCTATATGTTAGATAATTCACATCCGTTTAGAATACACTTAATAAGCAAACAGTATTTATGTCATATTGGATTTTGCTTACAATTGAAATATGTAAAACTGTTGTGTTTACTTCCATAAACACTAATTTCTTCTAACCATGTGGTTATTGTGAAAGCACATATTTACTTTTGTTTTATCAAAAATAATTAGTCAAGACAACGGTTCGTATTGAGACTTTGGCCGATTCATCTACAACAATAAATATTAAGCTAACGTTCCCGAAGTCTACATATAAATATTTAAGGGGGAAGGCTCCGGTAAAAAAAACTTTTTTAATACTCGTTAGAAAACAGTTATTTCTTTACAGCTTTATTAAGATACATCCGCATATGCATTTCCACTAAAAAAAAATTTTGAAAAAATCTTGGTAACTATGACAACAGCGGCCATCTTGAAAAATTAACCCCTTCGTAGGTTTTCCACCATTCACAAAATATTACATTTTAAGCCCAATAAACAATCAATTCATAATCTACTTCCATATTTTGGGGTAATCAGCTAAAAATTTTAAGTGCATATCTTCAAACTAATTTTTTATGAATTTTCAAAATTTGTGTCCGATCAAAACACTAGTTTTAATGCCCCAAAATTCCCCAATGTTAAGTGTTTTGAACGGACACAAATTTTGAAAATTCATAAAACATTAGTTTGAAGATATGCACTTAAAATTTTTAGCTGATTACCCCAAAATATGGAAGTAGATTATGAATTGATTGTTTCTTGGGCTTAAAATGTAATATTTTATGAATGGTGGAAAACCTACGAAGGGGTTAATTTTTCAAGATGGCCGCCATTGTCATAGTTACCAAGATTTTTTCAAAATTTTTTTTTAGTGGAAATGCATGTGCGGATGTATCTTAATAAAGCTGTAAAGAAATAACTGTTTTCTAACGAGTATTAAAAAAGTTTTTTTTTACCGGAGCCTTCCCCCTTAATACAGTCAACTCTTTAATTTTTAAATTATAGTAACAGGCGATGTTATATTACTAAATATTAAAAAACTATTAGGATATACCCCATAGACAGCAATTGTGTATTTTATCATGAAAAACAATTGTTGTGACTTTCATTGTTTTACTTACCCTGGCCACTCCAGATGACTTTAAGAAGGAGTTGAGAGTAGTTGTTATAAATTTTTGAGTTTATAAAACAATTCTAAACGGCTTTTCAAATATGGCGTCGTTGTGAACACACGAAGAAACAGCATATAAGACAAAACAACCACCAAGAAGTTACAAAACGCGAGTAAATAAAACAAAGGCTCAATAACAATACATCAATTTAATAATATCTACAACTATAGGCTATTCTAAATACACACGCTAGTACACAAAGAAATATGAAAGTGCAGGACTAACCTACACAAACCTTGTTTGGAGAACCCAGCTAAACTGAGACAATCGTTCTCACACACCTTAAATATCGTGACAGAAAACAGGTACCAGCTGGTTGTCTAGACTCACAGCACAAGCTTTGAATAGGGACGAACGGGATAGGGTACAAAGTATAAACATCATTCACCCCACCCTCACTCATTACCTACACCCATATTTTTTAAAGATTGTATTTTAAGTTTAGTAAGATTACCTAGACTTTTCAAGCCTATGATGTTACATTTTAAACACAATGAAATTTCCCTTCAAAAAGCAATTGGAAGCTAGTTTGCATAATATTAATAAACATGAAAGTATATATGAGAAAAAAAACGGATTAGGCCATAAATAGATATTTTTCAGGGGGGGGGGGGGGTGTTTGACACTATTATGTGCCGCACGCCGGTTACATTTGACCCAGCGAATAGAAATATACATTTAGATATAGAATTGCAATTGGTATTATATATTTGACATGTAAATAACAAGTAAGATTAAATAAATACATAATGCAAAGACCATTTTAATCATATTTGTTCTAATATGAGTAAAAAAAGATTCATTTGTTTGTATAATAGTAATAGACTAGCCATCGGTATCCGTTTCACGTGAATTATAGGCCTATATATTTTAAAACATCAGTTTGGTTATTGAAAATCTGGAAATAGGCTATAATAAACAAATACTATATGTTTATTATTCTTTTAAATGATAATGTAATAGAATATCTGAACATAATTAACCAAATATCCTTACCTATAAGTACTGTGACTGATGTGCTGTAAAATTGTGTGATTGCGGCGTGCTACTGCGTTTTCCACGTAATGACAAATATAGCGATATTCGTTTTGCGCCGAGATTTTTAATTAGCACTTGAAATAATAGGCGGTTTGTTCAAATGATTATATCTCGATAATAATTCAACAGATTTCTCTAATATTTTCAGGCATTATGGGGAATCATACTGGCTTTTGATTTATGTAAAAAAAAAGGAAATCGAATTTTTTTGAGTTAGACGGTTTGCGACCGAGACCATTGATATGCTACAGGTCCTTCGCCAAGGCCGTAAAAAGTGCCGGTAATAAACGAATGCTTTCTTTTTTTTTTATTGGCAACTGCGCTACAGAGGCTTTCGATTGATACTTACTTGGAATTTGTATTTTTAAATTGTTAATTTATATTCACCGTGCTATTTTGTGATGGCGTGGTTGTTTGGTTGAGCGTTATGCTGCTAGTCAGTGCGGCTCGAGTTCGGATCCTAGTTCGGACTTGTGAGTATATGGTATAAAGTAAAGGCAGCTGCATGTGGTGCATCTCTACATCTGACCAGGTCAAAAAACATAAGAACATTAATTTATATACCCTATGGGTTGCTAGGTTTGAAGAAAAATATGTACTACTTTGTTTTTACCTTAGCACTTTGTAACCATTTATAATTCATTAAATGGGTATTCAATATGCTTTTTTATATTTAGCAAATAAAGCGACCGTAAAAATAAACAAGTTAATAAAAAGTCTAGTGACAATTTAAGCGCAATTTCCTTATGTTATCTATAAAAATTTTAAATCGAGATAAATCATATATTCAGGAACGGAAATAGTTTTATTGTAACGAGTAGGCCTACACGATGCTCAGTTTAAAAAAGTAGTAAATATTTCTTAATTAATTTTTTTGACTGAACGAAAGGATATTTTTGAAAACTTTCTTCGGCAATATTGTTCTAAATGATGGCAGGAATCGATTGGTAAATGTTTCAAGTCGCTAAGTGGTCTGGGTTGTTTTGAGGTATTTTGGCTTTTCCGGGAAATCCAGGAAGGAATTCCGGGAATTTTTTGGGCCCACAATCATCCTTGGAACTTGCTTAACATATTTGCTTTGGAACTAGTCCTCGATATTGCTTCGTTGAGGAGGAGATACGACTTGAAGCTGCGGACACACATCCATCCATCCATCCAGAAATGACGCATTGCCAGTGAAAATGAAATTGCCAGTATGGAAATTGCGCTATAAATTAAAAAAAAAACCTAAGCCTAAAATTAGTTCAGAAATTTTATACTTTTAGAATTAATGCTATTAAAGTGTTTATAAAAAAAGATTGTCTCCTCAGAAGTTTTGATGTCACTACCTGTTGGCCAGATGCCACTGTGACTGCTGGCCTGATGTCATTGTACTTGTCTAATGCAGGTTGTTTTACCTGTCAACCTGATATTCTGTCATGTTGCTGTATGTCTGACTGAGCTGTTTGTGAATAGTGTAAATGTGTTAAGTTATGAATTAGGATTGTGTAACAGTAGGGCCTACATATATTGTAAACATCTAGTAAATGTAAATAAATGAATTGAACTTTGTGTTTTATTTTAGTTAGCTTCTGTTATTGTTAATAATGTAAACAAAACCATGCGGGTATAAAAATAAAACCCTGGGTTTCTAAAAGTTATAGCTTACTTCTCCTATCATACACATTTACAGATAACACTCATAAAAAGTAGGCTACATAAAGAAAAAAATTGTACACATGCAGCTGACATTATAGAATGCTATTTCCTTTTACAGTCAGAATACAATTTCTTTTTGAGTATGTATAATAGACATGGTATACTCTTTGACAAAAGAACCTTTTCATAATACAAATATTAAAATTAATAAACTATGGCCCACTATTCGATGGCCCTAGTTAAAGTTATGTGAAGAGAAAAAAGTATAACAAGATATTTAATAATAATTTGCTCTAAAATAAATTATTTATGTTAAAAATTGTTTTTTTTTAGTCATGATGAATTTCCTGGCTTACCTATAGAATGAATTATTTATGAGTATTTAAATTAGATATTTGACAAAAATTTTTGTGACAAACATCACATTCATGTGGCTTATCTCCTGAATGAAATCTTGTATACATACATATGGCTTACAACCTGTAAAAACACATATATCATAACAAATTATTATTCTGAGTCAACTTTTTGTGACAAATATAACAGTTACATTGTTTCTCTCTATAATAAAATTTTTTTGGTGTAAAAATAAACAAGAACTTTGAGAAAACCTTGGATGTCAAACATTACATTCTTGTGGCCTTTCCCCTGAATGAAACTTTTTATGACTTAATAAATTAGAACTTTGAGAAAACCTTTTGTGACAAATATCACATTCATGTGGCCTTTCTCCTGAATGAACCTTTTTATGTGTTTTCAAAGTAGAATTTTGAGAAAATTTTTTATGACAAACATCACATTCATGTGGCCTTTCTCCTGAATGAACCTTTTTATGACTTAATAAATTAGAACTTTGAGAAAACCTTTTGTGACAAATATCACATTCATGTGGCCTTTCTCCTGAATGAACCTTTTTATGTGTTATCAAAGTAGAATTTTGAGCAAATTTTTTATGACAAACATCACATTCATGTGGCCTTTCTCCTGAATGAACCTTTTTATGGTTTTTCAAAGTAGAACTATGAGAAAACCTTTTATGACAAACATCACATTCATGTGGCCTTTCTCCTGAATGAACCTTTTTATGACTTAATAAATGAGAACTTTGAGAAAACTTTTTATGACAAACATCACATTCATGTGGCCTTTCTCCTGAATGAATTTTTTTATGTGTTCTTAAATTAGAATTTTGAGAAAACTTTTTATGACAAACTTCACATTCATGTGGCCTTTCTCCTGAATGAACCTTTTTATGTGTTCTTAAATTAAAACTTTGAGAAAACCTTTTATGACAAACATCACATTCATTTGGCCTTTCTCCTGAATGAACCTTTTTATGCGTTTTTAAAAGACAGTTTATAGAAAACTTTTTATGACAAACATCACATTCATATAACTTATCTCCTGAATGAACATTTTTATGTGTTCTTAACGTAGAGCTTTGAGAAAACCTTTTATGACAAACATCACATTCATGTGGCCTTTCTCCTGAATGAACCTTTTTATGTATTTTCAAAGTAGAATTTTGAGAAAACTTTTTATGACAAACATCACATTCATACGACTTATCTCCTGAATGAACCTTTTTATGTGTTTTTAACGTAGAACTTTGAGAAAACCTTTTAAGACAAACATCACATTCATATGGCTTTACTCCTGTATGAATTTTTTTGTGATTACTTAAACCAGAACTTCGAGTAAACCTTTTATGACAAACATCACATTTATATGGCTTATCTCCTGAATGAAAATTTTTGTGTTGTAATAAATTTATCTTCTGACCAAACTTTTTATGACAAACATCACATTCATATGGCTTATCTCCTGAATGAACATTTTTGTGTTGTAATAAATTTTTCTTCTGACCAAACTTTTTATGACAAACATCACATTCATATGGCTTATCTCCTGAATGAACATTTTTGTGTTGTAATAAATTTTTCTTCTGACCAAACTTTTTATGACAAACTTCACATTCATGTGGCTTATCTCCTGAATGCATTTTCACATGTGTATATAATTTACATTGATAAGAGAACCTTTTATTACAAACATTACTTATGTATTGCTTATCTCTTGAGTGCTCTTTTTTATTTTTACTGAAATTACAACTTTGAGAAAGATTCTCATGGTAGCTTTCATAATCAACTTGCTTATTTCCTTCTTGAGCTGTTTTATGTTTTTTTAAGTTAGAACTTTGAGAAAACCATTTGTGTTTGTGACTAGAAAAATTTTGATATCTTTTGTCTCTAGAAAGTTGGAGATTTTCTTCAACTTGAAGTTCAAGCCTTTTTTGTTGTTTATTCTCAAAACATAAAAATCCTGTAAATAAATCTGGATTTGAATCTTTACTACTTGATAAAGTTGTTACTTCTGATTTGTTATCTTCAGATGTTGATAATGTTGATACAGCAGGCTTTTTATCTTTACAAATTAAAAACTCAGTTGTAACATCAGGTTTAACATCTTGCAAGTTAATAAATGTTTTGTTGTGTTTAAATTTATCAAGAGATGAAAAACTTGAAAATTCTGTTTCTGTGTCATTAGAAGATGAAAATTCTGTTGTAGTATATGGTTTAACATCTTGAGAAGCTGTGAATGTCAAGTTGGGTTTTGCATCAACCATAGATGAAAATGTTGTAAATTCTGTTTTTATGTCTTGAGAAGATGAAAATATTGTTGATAGATCTGGTTTCAAATCTTCAGAGTTTAAAAATTCTGTTAATTTGTGTGACTGTTCATCTACAATTGATAACATTGCAGCTAAATGTTCTTTTTCCTCTTCCATTCTTGACAGCTTTTTTTATAAATCAACTGATGATTAAAAATGTTATAAATGTTAAATTGAAAAGTGGTGATTATAAAGTCAGAATAAAGTATTATTAATTGTATGGAGCAGAGACATGGAGAGTCTCCAAGGCAAGCACAGCAAAGATACAGACCTTCATGAATAGATGCCTTAGACAGATGCTGAAACTGAGATGGCAGGACAAAGTGCCGAACTTGGAACTATGGAGGAAAGCTAGGCAGGAGCCTATAGGTATGCAAATAAGGAGGAAGTGGATTGGGTGGGTCACACACTGCGAAAGGCTCACACAAATGTTACACGCCAAGCGCTTGAGTGGAACCCCCAGGGAAAGCGGAAGAGAGGGCGCCCAAGACAGACATGGAGGCGGAGTCTTCTTGAAGAACTGAAGCCAATAGGGATGTCTTGGGAGATGTCAAAATTAATAGCCGAGAATAGGAAGAAATGGAAGGAAATGGTGGAGGCCCTATGCTCCATAAGGAGCAAAGAGGACTAAGTCAAGTAAGTCAATAATAATACTTTATTCTTTATTTATAATTATTATAAAAATGGCAAAATTAATGGCTGAAGGTCTGTTAATCTTTTCACTCTGTCTGATGTGATCTAAATGTAGATTGCCAGTAATGCCAAGGCTATCAATAGATTAGGACTGCATATTAATATTCTTTAAATATTCTTTTAAAAACACAAATTTGTAATCCAGTACTGCTTATTTTGGCTAAGGATTGCGGAATTACCAAATGTGCTTAGATCCTCTCACATCCAGTCGAGGTTATATATATTGTGCCTTGGTTGGCAGGAAATAAGAACAGTGTTTATGTCTTTGAAAAATGAGAAAAGATATTGCATATTTCTTCGAACATAAGACTTAATTGGCAGATGAAAAACAATGACACATTTTATATGTCAAAATATACTTATTTATATTAATTCAGCTAAAATACTTAATATTTGTATTGAAAAATAAATTAATACTATTTTCTTAGACTATTTCTAGCCCTGACCTTTTAACCTAGCCATTAACCCTCAACTCAAACCTTGACCCTAAACTTAAGATATAAGGAAAAAAAAAATGAAATATTAATGTCATTAGCACTAATAACAAAAAACTCAATTAAAACAGGTTTTAAGTGCAAAACACATACTTGATATTTCTTCACACTAGTGATTCTAACCATGCAGTGCTCGAAATAATTAGTAAAAATAATAATAATATATTAAATTAAATAAACCTCTCTGAAAAATTCTAAAATATACACTTCAATTAAAAATTTCTAAAAAAAATATGTAAGCCTTCAAGCAAAATATAACCACAAGATTTGAGAGGATATAAGATTGATGCATTTTCTCTATTGTTCGTGGCTATAAAATAAGTATTTCCATATAATACATTATTCATGTATCTAAAAAAAATATTAATAATTCCTAAATAATTATCATTAAAAAAGTTTTTAAAAACCCACGTTTTCTGATTGAACTAAAAAGTAGAAAATAAATGCTATACATCACAATAATGCAAGCGATCACTCTACTATAAGTGATCGCAAACTGCGTGCGCAATATGCCAAAAAATGAAAAACTTGGGGCGCCGAAGTAAAAGTTTTTTATCGGTCATTGCTAATATAAGATGTAAAAGTTATATTACTGTTGATTATATAATACTATTGCGTTTTATTAGGAAGCTTGTAGAGAGTCAACAGTATTAAAAACTGTAAAAAAAAACCCGGCGCCCCACGTTTTTCATTGTGAGATGCCACAAAAATGAATCAAAGCGTTGAATCGAACGGCCTACTGGTAGTTATCTAAATAAACACATTGCTGGCTTATGTCAATGCTAACCCTGTCCTTAACCCAAACCCTAGTTACTATGAGTAGTTAGTCCTACCGTATGCATACGCCTAACATTTCTAATCATTCATAAAATAATAATTATAATAATTATAATAAATAGGCCTAGGCCTAATAAAACTAGATCTAGCAGAGATTACAATGCTACTAGTACTACTAAAGTTAAGTACTAGATCTAGATCTAGATCAACATCTAACAACCCAACACACCTAATTTATGGATGAGTCTATTATTGGACACCAGTATCTAAAATCATCCTGGGTAAAACTATGCTTTAGTGTATTTGATTCTCCGCTGCTTGTTTACCTCCAGTTGAGCATATTTTATTATTATAACCGAAACACACCAAAACATTAGGAAAACACAATTTATTTATTTGTATTGTATTTTTGTTTTAACAAATAGCAATGTAAACAGAAAGTGTTATTTCAACGCCAAGGGTAGACAAAGGTACAGAATATAGTCCAAGTTAAGACAGAACAGACAGACCCGACGGGTTCCGAACCTACCACTCCTCATGGCACCGAATCGCCTCGCCTTCCATGCATCAAGTCAGACGTGTAACCGATTCTGCCAATCAGCTCTACAAAAATTAAAACGGTGCCGTGAGGAGTGGTAGGTTCGGAACCCGTCGGGTCTGTCTGTTCTGTCTTAACTTGGACTATATTCTGTACCTTTGTCTACCCTTGGCGTTGAAATAACACTTTCTGTTTACATTGCTATTTCAATCACAACGCCTGCTTCCACCCCTCACCATGTTTACACAATACCCATTTAAGGAAGCTACTATTTGTCTGTATCATCGTCCCTATACTTGTGTCGCCTGAGTGGTCGAATAATGGTCCTTGTTGTGTTTGAGGCTAACGGTCAGTCCCATTCGCGGTTCAAAGGTCACGCCAGCCCGCGTCTTTCGTGCATAGGTTGTGATTGTGCTCTGCCATGAAAGCTTTATTTTTGTAGAGCTGATTGGCAGAATCGGTTACACTTCTGACTTGATGCATGGAAGGCGAGGCGATTCGGTGCCGTGAGGAGTGGTAGGTTCGGAACCCGTCGGGTCTGTCTGTTCTGTCTTAACTTGGACTATATTCTGTACCTTTGTCTACCCTTGGCGTTGAAATAACACTTTCTGTTTACATTGCTATTTCAGTCACAACGCCTGCTTCCACCCCTCACCTTGTTTTAACAAATGAATAAAAATGAATTAAAAAAAAAAAAAAGACTGACTTTGTTTTAGATTTTGATAATTTACTTTTGTCAAAATTTGAGAAAAATCCAAATTTAGAATATTGGATGTGCTATGTTCGTGTGTCAGTTAGAATTTTCATGGCAATGGTCAATGGGTGAAGGTCGTAAACGTAACTCACAATTGCAAGGTGGTTAAGTTTGTATTGTTACAAGTACATCCCAGGCATGATACTATACTATAAATAAACATTTATGAAATTAAAATGACCCCAAAACTGAGGCCAACACAATTTCAAACAACTAGATCTAGATCTATTGCCCGAGCTATGACGTATGCTGATAATTAAAGTCAATGTGAACTCACGGTGAACCCATGACCGTGATAGGATTTTTCTCCCGCTGACGATCACGATATTTAATTGGAACAGTTCTAATGATTTTTTATGTTTTTTTTTTTTACCTTTTCTAATTAAAAATCACATTCATAAAAAAATAAGATCTAGATTCTAGATCTAATCTAGTGTTTTCATAGTGACTATATTAATATTAGTATTAGTTAGGCATTTTGGTAAAAATATTTCTATTTAACACAGAATGATAAATTTTACATAGAATCAAGAAGAGAATCTGCCATTTAATAAACTACAAAAAATTATCATTCTAGGCCCAGTAGTTTTTTTTATAAGAATTTTTAAAGTGTTAGGTAAAACAGCTTATATGTTCAAGTAAAGTTGCAAAATATTTAGTGCCCTTCTTTGGGTTTGTATAACATTGTTGTTATTAAACATATAATGTAAAAAATGTTCATACTGATGCTAGAGAGTGTAGACAACAGGAATATGCAAGTGAAATAAAGATCAATTTAAAGGAAAAGAATTTATAATTAACTTAATTAAGCCCAATTAAGGTGTGTGGTGCAGTTCTACAATGACTGTCGCAAGTCACTTTTCACACTGCATATCTATGTTGTTATTGATGATATAAAGATAAAACATAGCACATTGATGCTTAAGGATGTTGGAAATAGAAACTTACAAGTTTAATACATGCTAGAAGAAAAAGACTATCACATATAATGAAGTCTAACTAAGGGGGTGGGACTGAAATTTTGCATTAATAATACCTGGGTATTACACTCATACTGAAATATGATATGTTTAGGATTATGTTGAAGTATCAAATTATTAGGAGCATTAGTTGTAGGCTACTTTTAATAAGTAGCCAAGGATTGCTAATCAATAAATAGTGTGACAGAAACTAGACGAGATGTGTGGCAACCAAAGGATAGACAACCGCCTTATTTGCTGATCTGAACCTACTAGATTCTAAATAAAAAAAACATTAGGCCTATTGTTGTTTAGTTTGTTATTTTTAAGTAAAATTAAATCACATTGTTGAAAGTGTTACTGCTTTCTTTTTGACTTTTAAAAAAAATGTATTACTGTTGCTTTAGACTTTAGATCACATTGTTAAAGTGTTTACCATTATTTCTAGACTATTTGATTTTTATTTTACTCATTGGTTAGGCTATAAATATAGACTACTAATAAAAAGTTTAAATGGAATTTGTTTAGACTGGAGAGCAATATTTATTTAATATTTAGATCTAGAGGAATCTATGACCTATTTAAAATTTAAATTATTATTTACCCTATTGAGTCTATTAATGAATGGGACTATTAATTCCAATGCTTTAAATTTTATTTAATCCATAAAAAAGCTATTTTATAAGCTTAGATCTTGCCAATTCAATAAAGACTGTTAAATAGCAATAATGTGGGAATTTTTTATTTCATGCCTATGGGCCGTCATGAAAATTCTAACTCGGCCGCCATTATTAAAATTGCGTAGATCTAGTATATCACTTCACGCAAGGAGCAATATCTCATATATAAGGAGCTCTAAAGCCCATAAAACCAACATTTCCATCCATCAAAATGGTTTGGCATTACTTATTTAGTAGTACTTATTCTCTTTTTTTTAAAGCCGAAATATAGTTCTGAAAGTATCGGTTCGGTACTGCGCGGTTTCGATCCATTTTCGCTATCATCGTTAGGTCGCTTTCAGTATCGAGTATTGTAAAGTGACAGCTACTTCTATCAATGAAACATTTAAATGATAAAATTCAACGCATATGATAGTATCGAATATATTTAATTTTTCGATTCTGATGGCTAGAATTAGCATTCATCGGAACGGCGAATTTTTTCAAGTACGCTTGAAAAAGTCCGGATGTAGTTTGGATCGCAAGATGGCGGCGAATCGAAAAGCCTAGTATTAGTATTATTAGTCACTAGTGTTTTTGTGTTTCGGTTGTGTTTATAATAAAATACGCTCAACTGGAGGGGAACGTGAAGCGGGGGGGATAAAATACGCTAAAATAGAGTTTTACCTCATCCTGAATGAATATTACCATGCAAACGCCAGATAATAAAATAACAGCTTAATAGATCAGTTTTTCTGAATTACGCAATCTCAACTTCATCTGAAAAACAGCTGCCATCTTTATTTTAAAATGGGCCGTATTTTTCAGAAAGCGCCGGTAGGTGGCGCCACAAAGAATTAGGTTAGCAATCAAGCGACACGAAGTACCGAAATTTTACTGCTTAGGCCTACTGCCAGTACTGGCGAAATTCTTTTTTGCTATTTAAAATATTAGATATTGATTATAGTTATAAACGTTTTTGATTTCCTCAAAATATATCACAAATGCAATATGCAATTTTGTGTATTAAAAAAAAAATCGCAGCGCAAATCGGTGTTACAAATTAATCATACGTGTTAATACTTTATACTCAATTATTGTAAGGGAAAAAAATGTTTAAAATATGAACCGAAACAAAAGTACTGAAATAAAATAAATATTATTTTTGTTTTTTATAAAATTTCGGTTTCACACCGTTCATCCGTGTACCATGAAAGTTTGGGGAGATGATTAGATCACTCAATGGTAGGGTTCTGCAAAAAAAAAAAAAAAAAATATTGTTTAATATTGCAAGGGGGGCGCCCCGGGGGGGGGGGGGGGTGATATTTTTTCTCTATATACGGTACACAAACTCGAATGCGGTTCATCCGAGTGCCATGAAACTTTAGGGAGTAGATGAGAATACTCCCGAGAATATTTCTGCGAAAAAGAAAACTAAAGTTTCTTATGGGCGGCGCCATATATGGTATAACTTTCGTCAATACACGGTTTGGAGCCCAGAGTTTTAGAGCGACCATGTTGGCACTTGGCAGCCGTTAATCGGGTGTCCTGCATCGCGAGAAAGCGGTACTACTATATTCAGCCATAAAACTAGAACAGGCTTCTAAAAATAACTTTGTAACGCGAAGGAAATCTTTCTGTCCGGTTTCGTCACCTTGCGAAAGATGAAAAACTAACTTTTTGAATATGACGAGCCTACTGTAGAGTTTCGTCACTTTGCGAATGATGCAATAAGCATCTACTATTAGACAATCCAGTCAGAAATTGAGATCGAGCATCTAATAATAGACCATTAGTAACGCTAGCATATTGCATCAGTCACACTGAATTTTAAAACCTGTCAAATACTTTTTTACGTGTTAAACAAAAAAAGCCTGTTCATTTTTGGGATTTTAGCGAATGATGAAATCTGCATCATTATTAACATGATGCTATTTGGTACGATGGCGCCTATTACTTTTAAGGAGCCGGGGGTCGTACGCCGCGCCTATGCGGTAGTGTAATCGGGGGGTGGGGGCCCTGAAAGCACCCCTGTACGTCTCGGTCACCGAAGTGTGTTCTACCATATTATTTCGGTGAGTGATTAATGTACACTCAAGGTTTACATGCGGTAGTGTAGGTAAACCCGTGTCCTGATATTTATGATCCAAGAACAGGCATTGTTTACATTTAAATAACTCATTTTTAGAAAAGAATGTCACGCGTCTAAGAACATATAATTATAATTGATAACGCGTTGGTGAAACCCTAATATATTTCATCAAACGTTCTTCTATCCCCGCGGCAACGCGCGGGTGTCGGGTACGCTAGTCTATATATATAATTCTCTTCTGGGAGACGTTAGAAAACAAGCTGCAAGCGCGCCTTGCAGTCCCCTCTCTTCCTCTCTATCGCTAACTCCCCCTACCACCCCCCCCCCTCTCACATGGTCTGGTGAGCTGTGGTTCATACTAAATTATTACAATCATAGAGCCGGGTTTGGTGACGGCTATTAGGGGCAGATAGTTTAGTTTGAAACAATTTTAAACTTAGAGGAGGCTGCTTTCACGGGGGGGGGGGGGGGGGGTAAGTGTTTTAAAGCAAATATTTTCAGTGGCAGCATTGGGACTGTCGAATTCACAAATTATGATTTCTGAAAAGTAGAAAAAACAACAACTAAATAGCGGCGTATGATACACCGCGGATAGACTCGTTGTTAATAATGTGTGTAATTTGTTTGAGCATATTTAGTTCACTTCATTGTTCCAATGAACGTGCAATGTCAATTTTATAATATTTGAAAACAATAGGCAAATTAACTGTGTGGCCTGAACAAAACCATGCCGGTATAAAAAGAAAACCCTGGGTTTCTCAAGTTATAGCTTACTTCTCCTAATATACACATTTACAAATAACACAAAAAGAAGTAGGCTACATAAAGAAAAAGTTGTACACATGCAGCTTACATAATAGAATGCAATTTCTTTTTAGAGTATGTATAATAATTGACATGGTATACACTTTGACAAAACAACCTTTACAGAATACAAATATTAAAATTAATAAACAATGGCGCACTATTACATGACCACTAGTTAAGTTATGTTAAGAGAAAAAATTAAATAATAATTTGCTCTAGTATTAAATTATTTATGTTAAAAATGACACTAAATTGGTTTTTAGTCATGATGAATTTCCTGGATTACATCTAGAATGAATTTTTATAAGTATTTAAATTAATTTGTGTCAAATATTATAGATAAATGAATAATAAACCTAAATCAATAGCTAAATATATCAATATAGGCAAGAAATTGACTTTAAACAGCAGTGTTTGCGAGCACGATTTCCTGTATACAGCCATTTGTAAAATAGAGTTGCCTTCCCCTGAATCTCGCGCTATAAGTTAACAAAAAAAGAACTTAAACAAGATGGCTGCTATAGAAAATGAGCATGGTTGCATCTGTTGGAAACATCGTTAGTCTTCATTTATTACTGAAAAGTTTTAATTCAATTTGTTTAAAAACAGGTACATAAATGAAACAGGGAAACATTTTTGTATTTTTCAAAACATAAATCCTCCTCGAAACGTGAAATAATTATTAAAATTTTAGGAGTAATATGTTTTTCACATTACTAGTCGCGGGTGTTTTACGTACCCTAAAACTTAAAACGATAGATTACCAACAATACTACTAACAACCAAACACACCTATTCTATGCATGAGTCTATTATCGGACATCAGTATCTAAAATCATCCTGAATGAATATTACCATGCGAGAGCCAAATAATAAAATAACAACTTAATGGATGAGTTACGCAATCTCAACATCATCTGAAAAACAGCTGCCATCTTTATTTTAAAACGAGAAAAATGGTCCGTTGAGGAAGGATACAACGGGCGCTAGGTTGATAGTGCTGTCTATTTTCTCTAAACTAAAACCAAAACCAAAATCACCATCTTAATTCAATTTAACCGGAACCAAACATGACATTGACAACGGATTTTTATCCAGAATTTGTACTTTAATTTATACAAAATATAGTCATAGGCATATCCCTAAACTATGCACCTAATCTCATTCATGACAAAAGTCGCATTTAGAGTTTCTTTCAGGCAACTCTACTTGGGAGGAGGGGGCTCCCCCCCCCCACACCCCAAAACATGTCTACCGTCCCATTCAACGAAATATAATTATGTCCGCCCCCTCCCAGAAAATTCTACCCCCGACCCCGAAATTTTCAAGTACCCCCACTACTCTCCGGGGAGGAAAAAGTCTGAAAGAAACACTGGTCGCATTTGTAGATCATACAAACTAAAGGAAGAACCTGAGCGGGGCTTAGCCCCTACCAGAAGAGATGCATGAAAAGAGCTGTGCACGCTAAATAGATTAGAAAAAGTTCCTCACTCCGGGGAGGAAAAAGTCTGAAAGAAACACTCGTGTCGCGCTTAGCCACTACCCGAAGAATTGCATGAAAGAAACTCTGCACGCAAACCACTGTTTAGATTAGACACATGAATTAGGCTGTAATTTTATTATAGAGTATCGATGACGACATTTCTTTTGAGATGGGGGGGGGGGGGGGCGTCGGCTTAGACGTTCTTACGCGGGGTATGGGCTTCGCCCCTACCCGAAGAATTGTATGAATGAAACTCTTCACGCAAACCACTTTTAAGATTAGACAAAATTAGCTTTTTAATCCAATGTTTACTCAAGAATCAATGACGTCATATTACAGTGTGCACTCTCCGGCTTGAGATTATTTTCTACTATATGCTCCAATGTGACGTCATATTTCGTTTCCGTCTTACTATGCGTGTTTTTAATTTGCTTGTGTTTTCTCTAGAGCGTTCTTGTCAGATAGATAGATAGATAGATAGATAGACAGATAGATAGATAGATAGATAGATAGATAGATAGATAGATAGATAGATAGATAGATAGGTAGGTAGGTAGGTAGGTAGGTAGGTAGGTAGGTAGGTAGGTAGGTAGGTAGGTAGGTAGGTAGGTAGGTAGGTAGGTAGGTAGGTAGGTAGGTAGGTAGGTAGGTAGGTAGGTAGGTAGGTAGGCAGGCAGGCAGGCAGGCAGGCAGGCAGGCAGGCAGGCAGGCAGGCAGGCAGGCAGGCAGGCAGGCAGGCAGGCAGGCAGGCAGGCAGGCAGGCAGGCAGGCAGGCAGGCAGGCAGGCAGGCAGGCAGGCAGGCAGGCAGGCAGGCAGGCAGGCAGGCAGGCAGGCAGGCAGGCAGGCAGGCAGGCAGGCAGGCAGGCAGGCAGGCAGGCAGGCAGGCAGGCAGGCAGGCAGGCAGGCAGACAGACAGACAGACAGACAGACAGACAGACAGACAGACAGACAGACAGACAGACAGACAGACAGACAGACAGACAGACAGACAGACAGACAGACAGACAGACAGACAGACAGACAGACAGACAGACAGACAGACAGACAGACAGACAGACAGACAGACAGACAGACAGACAGACAGACAGACAGACAGACAGACAGACAGACAGACAGACAGACAGACAGACAGACAGACAGACAGACAGACAGACAGACAGACAGACAGACAGACAGACAGACAGACAGACAGACAGACAGACAGACAGATAGATAGATAGATGGCAACTCGGGATATAGACTTCTAGAAATGATTTTTAATCCATTTTAAATACTCACACTTTTTAAAATCTGTATATATAATTCTCTTCTGGGATCAGTTAGAAAACAAGCTGCAAGCGCCTCCTTGCAGTCCCCTCTCTTTCTCTCTATCACTATCACTACCATTCCCACCCCACCCCAACATTGTCTGGTGAGCGGTGTTCACTCTAAAT